TTAATGCCGGAATGATGAGATTATCTGTGTATTTTAATGCGGCTGTCGTACAAGTACACTGATGTTCTGGGAAAACGACATAAGAAAGACAGTTTACCACGTTATCTTCGGCATCCTTTAGATTTACATATTCTTGTTGTCAATGAACTACTAACATATGGAGCAAAAGAATTAAACTGATCTTAATACAGATATCGTTCAAAAGCGCTGATGGATAACATCTCTCAGTCGCATTAATCTTGAAGGAAACTATGGAGCACTTAGCACCAGCCAGGGAAAAAACGGACCGCCAACACGTGCAACTCCCACCAACAGTTACCTAAATTGTTTTCACGGAAACAATAGTGTGAATATCATACTGTATCACGCTGTACTGGTTTTAACATTAAGAGCTGAGAGAGCGAACTACAGGAATACTGAGCAAAATTTGTCTAAACATGTCGAATGATCCAACCAATTCTACTCATGGAAACACTACCACCGTTTTTATCTACGAACTCGAAGAAGGAATATTACAAGCAGTTTTTCTTTTCGTTATCGTCATTTCTGGCGTCTTCGGAAATCTGTATATTTGCAGCGTAATTTACAAAAACAAGAATTTGAGAAATCCAACTTTTATTTTTCTCGTAAATCTCGCCGTAGCAAACATTGGAGCGCTCACGCTGTGTAGCCCGTTTGCACTCATTAACAGCATTCAAAGGAGATTCACAATGCAACAACACTGGTGCCTCATCAATGGATTTCTGAACAATTTCTTTTTTTGTATTTCCATTTTCACCTTGTCCCTCATAGCCGGTCAGAATTATTTTTCAATTGTTAAACAACCATCTTGCGAATGGCTTCAAATTACAAAAAATAGGGCCAAGTTTCATTTACTTGCTATGTGGGGTCTTTGTTTCGCATTTTCTTTTCTTTCGCTGGGCCCTTTTGAAAACTGGAGTTACGTAGTGTTTAATCCGACAACAGCGCATTGTGGAATAGCTTTCCCAAATTCACTTGCCGACAAATTGAAGTTGTCATTACTTGCTCTAGTGGCATTTATTGTTCCAATTTGCGGCATGTCTTTCGCGTATTGTCGAATTTTCTTTAAGGTCAGTTCACACGAAGGCAAAATGAACCAGAACGCCGAACGTCAAGGTAACCAGCTGTCGGTGGTTACCAAAAGACTCGCTGTCACATTATGCCTGATGTTCAGCACTTTTCTTATTTGTTGGTTGCCGTTTTTCATCCTTATTGCACTGGCTATTGTTTCAGAGGATGTGTCGACCCTTCCTTGGTACCTTGGTCGCATTGCCTACTGGAGCGGATACCTAAATTGCGCCATGAACCCTTCTCTATATTGTTTGCGATCTTCTGCCTTCAAAGATGTGATACGCCGACCTTCGTCAGCAAGTGCTGAAGGTTCAGTCAAACCGTTAGTCAACAGAAGTCAGAGGGCTTTCTCACTACCCGCCATATCGTATAATATGAAGCGCCCCATATCAAAACGAGTTGGAAGGCAAAGTTATCCGAACGCCGGTCTGAGCGTATCGACTCACGATCTGCCAACATGCGCCGAGGTGGATGTGGCTCGCTTGAGAGCTTACTCTTGTTCCAGTTATGAAATAAAATGCAAAGAAAACACACAGATAAATCAACAAAGTGTAGAGCTATAGCGAGACAGAGAAGTCAGTACAGGCAGCAGTGTCAAATGAGCAATTTGCGGTGAATCGTGATGTGAATGCGAGAAAGGAGACATTCGGAATCTGAGCTCGTCACCAATCGGCGGACATAGCCTTTTAACAGCCCAAGGCAAAAAAGGACGTAACCACTTTAATCTGACTTCCGATGTAGCAGTAAAGCGTATCTCATGACTTTCTCGCGCGAGGCGCTCGAGGAAGGTATCTATGTAGGACAAATTATTTCAATTGCAACCAATAGTCGCGTTTTTCGTGAGACAAAATTTCGAGAGCGAACCAAGACTGTCTGATTATAAAACTGATGGTAGGATAAAATGAAAGGATTGCTATTCTACCCTTTCGGGTTCCATGCACTGCAACTATCAAAGCATAAAATTACGCAACAAAAGTACGAACTTTCGCTTACCCTCGATTACAAAATTGTTGACACCTAAAAAGCATAATCTACGATGAAACCCAACGGTTTAATGGGAATGTTCGAATAGTTACATGATCAGTGCTGTAAGTTTTCCGTTATCAATGGAAAATATTTGTCTATGATAATTCTTTTCTTTTAGGAATGCGTTTACGGCGTCTATCATTTACCACGAGCAACTGATTGTGGTTATTGTGTAAATGCGTACCCGTAAAGCCAATGACTCGTCCTTCATTGCGAACGCTTTTTAGGCGTCGACGTTTTTGCAATCGAGTGTATCTGTAATGTAAGAAAAGAAGACAACAAATTGACAATACTAAAAATTTATTTCATGACAGTAATTTCAGTGTCAAACGTAAGACGTTTTAAGGCTCCCTTAACAATGATAAACTTAGCCTAAATTACTAATAGAAGTGTTCATACAGTGAACAACAAAAAGCCAAATTTATTGTTATGTACAAAAAAAAGGAGTGTGACGGAATGGAACAAAATTTAAAACGCCTCTTTAAAAATGGCAAGCACTATTAGTATTGTTTTACGTGAATGCAAATAAACCTTGATTTTTGAGTGGAATTTCAATTAAAAAAAAACATCTTGTTGAGGCCTGGACGGCTAGTTTACATGAATATATAAATATAAAAAATAGGAATCAGATATAAAAAATAGAAATCAGATGTCTATGTACGACGCCATAACTGTCTCTGTTTTTTATGATCCTACCTGGTAAGTTCTCTAGAGGTTTGTTGCTAAGTTTTCTTTTTCTCTCCACAAATCCCTCCACCCACCCCTTCCTCCTTACCCTCACCTTACCCTGGAGCTTAGTATTCAAGCTTCTCAACAATTGTTTTTTGTTTCTTTTTTTCAATGAAGTAGTCTGGCTGCTGAGCATGTTGCTAGCACAATTTGAATAAGCACCCTAAGAACATTTCGAGTTCTCCTCCAACAGCAAAAATGTTTCAAATTATGAGATAATTACTTTGATTTAAAGGATATTTGCATACTGCACATTGAACCAAACTTACTACATTAAGTATAGGTAAACTACAATATATCAGTTACATTGGCTTCAACCCCACAAAAGCCCGCAACTGTTCAAAAACAAAGAATGTTACAACTGTGTGAGTTCCAGTTCTTGTCCAGTTTGGTATAAACCCTTTATAGAGACCAAAAAGCCCTTCTTTGTGAACTGTCTTTGCTATACAGTCTATTGTTCCTCTGTAAAGCAGTGGTTTCTTGTTGCAATCCTTCTTTTGATTCATGTACCTGGTGCGCACCATGTCTATTGGTGATGAGACACAGTTTGTCACAAATCCTGCTATGGAGGAAGCCATTATGTGCAGAACAGGTCCTTCCTGAAGAAGTCCAGCATTTAATATTTTATGTTTGGCATGATCATATGAAGATACAGCTGTAGCTGATACAAGTGCAGACCTTTTCACTGTAGCATTCACACCTGTCCAAAGTCCACGAATTCCTTCATTGGCAACAATTGCTTGAAATGCATGAAGTGTGTGTCTATACTCCCATTTATTTCCAGATGGTAGTGCCATCAAACGGATCTTTACCACATCAGTAGGGCAAGCTATGGCACTTCCAATTGCGCCAGCAATTGCTCCAGAGCAGACCTTTTTCCACAGTGGTGTGTGAGCAGGGTCTGTTGCTCCAAACCACTCTTTCAGAGGTTCATACAAGCCTAGTCGCAGTGTACTGTAACTGGCTTCTCTCATCAGTGAGGGAGCAATACTGGAGTAAAGAAGATAAAAGGAAGATTTTTGGTAAGACATTGAGCCTCTTCCTGTTCTGTTTACTGGAGTAAATTTTCTGTAAGCAATCCTAAAAGCACGGAAATTCTCTAAAACAACATCCTCTGATTAATGGAATATACATGTTATAACATTCTGATTGCACTTGAATCATAGAGTGGAAAGTTGTGCATAAATTTTAAGTCAATCATTTTAGTGCGCTAAACACCAATTTAATATTTGAACTTTCCATACTTCTTTATCATAGTACATAATACTCAGCAGCTCATCATGTAACATTTTGATCAATCAGTATTGTCTAGTTGACAAATAGGTTCCATGTTGTTGTGTCTGATGAGCTATACATCACAGATGACATCAAAAGATGGTAAGAACAAAAAGGGGGCACACAAGGCATAGCTAATGTTCTTACCACATTTTGAAATTCTCAGTGAACTTTTACTCAACAGACCCATTGAAACAAGGGATCTATTTGTTTCATATAAAATAGAAACAAAAATTGTTAAAATAGACATGACTAAAGTCCTCAAATAGATCAAAACTGGGAACCAATCAAAATGCAAACATATTTGTTGATCAGCTTATTATATAAAAAAGACAGCTTACCTATGTTACAAAGAGAGGATACTTCTGAAGCAAATTTTGATCAAAACTTATCAGAAATATGCATATGCAACATACATGAAGTCAATATTAATTACTATCCTTTTCATTCAATGAAACTCTTCTGGTAAATCCTGGCCATCTTTTCAGACAGATATCCAAAAAATAAAATTTTATGGTTTTCCCTCTTCACATCAATGCAGAGGCTTAACAAGAGAACAGAACCAATGCCAGAAGAACTCACTCTTTTGATTGAAAATTAAACCCAAACAAAATCCATTTGGATACAAAACAAAAATATGCTTGGAAAGAAAATTCATTGACAATTTTTGTTTACTTGTTTCATGTAAGCATCAGCCTAAGATCACATCAATTAATTGTTGCAATTGCATTCCATAACTGAAATAGCCATCTGACCCATTACAAAAGCTTGTCTTTTCTGCATGAATCATTATAGTTCTCACTTACCCATTTAAGGAAATTATTAAAAAGGGAAGTCTTACAAAAGATAACAATTTTTAATTACTTTACAGCTAATCAAAAATTACCTAACCCTAACCATAGAATGTTACATCATTTGACATTCAAATTTAAATTATTTCTTACTCCATAAATTGGCCCTCAACTCTTTAACTCCCATGAGTGACCAAGACAGAATTTCTCCTCACAATATCCATACAATATCAAGCAGACAAGTGACAAGAATAAAGAGAAATATCAATTAGGGATTATTAGTTGATCTGATAACAAATTCTCAGAACTAAAATCAAAAGAATTGTATAGCAGTCATCAAGGAGAAGTATTAATGAGATCTTGAGAGTGAAAGGGGTAAGGCATATGTTCAGGTGCTAGTGCTAACTCACCCTTTGTACAGACCACGTATCCCTTCCTCATGAGCAATCCTTGCTGCCCCTCGAACCAAACCACGATAGTAACGGTTATGAAATATGTTTCTGCTTTCATGTTGGGAGCCCAATTCATTATCAAGCTGCATGCGAGTCTTAATTACATCTATAGGATTTGTAACTAGAAGGAAAATGAATTACAGTTACATTTTGGTGAAAATGCAGGGCAATCAGAGGCAAGTTTTAAAATACCTGAGTATTATAAAATGATTATTTTACATTGAGGAACAACCATAAACACAACAAGATAAAAATGTTGCAGGCTATTACTTGACTAGCTCTTAAATGTCACTAACTTGGTGACTTTCCCAGGAGTTTCCAAAATTACCTACAATTCATAAATTATGTGGCTCTACTTATCAGTTATCTTTTGTGACTTGAAGGTCTCAACTACTTCAAGACCTAACTTTGTCCGATGCAATTGCCTGTTTAAATTTCATTGTGCATAACACTACAAAGTACGTCTTTTAATAAGCTCAGTTACTCATGTTGACATCCTCAACAACACCACATCAACCAAAGAGATAAATTGTTAGCAAAATGTTACATTAATATGAAAACCGACCCTTAAATTCACGAGCAGTTCCCAAGAGAAAATAATATATTTTATCGTCTATCATAAATAATAATGTACTAGTTTTATAAAAGCGACTTCATAGTCGCTGTGACATTCAGAAATTCCGCCTGGGTCAGCTTGACTAAATACTTCACGGTCCATTCTTGCAGTATAAACAGTATACAGTAAGAGCAAAGAAGAATATAACAATCTACTGAACCAAGCAGAGCTTACCTGTTGCTGCGCACATGCAGGAGAGCCCACTCAAAGCAAAGCGAACTAAATTTTCATGTTCTTTACTCTGACGTCGTGGCTGTCTCTTTTCGCACAGTCCTGTCGCCATTTGGTCAAAGACTCTTGATTGTCACCTTTCTTGCTGGTTATTTACAAGAATCTCCGTGGGAGCTTTACTCACTGTCCTCCAGAAAATCACGAAATCTTCGATGATAAAGCGCCGGCATTGCATGTTTCGATGGGTAATCGAAAGACCGACTTAATATTTACAACAAGAACAAATAATCTTCCAGAGATGACCGATCGAAGCTTATTGCGTATAATTCTACCAACAGACAGCTGCAGGACTAGCAAACCCTCTACAGAATCTAACAGAAAGAACCTGAAGAAATAAAACCTGATCGACTGAAAAAACACAGGCTCAATATCTCAATACATGACGTAAGAAATAATTTGCACTTTACAACACGTGCAACGGAACCATGGAATAATAAGACCATGGAATGACAACCTGGGAACGAGGTTTAGGCACAGCTTATCCACCTTACCAAATCAAAGCAGTTGACTACAGTCCTGTGGATTTTGGTCAGAATAGTTATTGATTCGAGCAGGGTCTTAATGTCATCAATATTATTTTTTGCCATGCTGCGAAATTTAGCTGTGAATCTGTAATTAGTTTTCACCGTCGGCTTGGAGTGAGATTCAATGAGATGGCGTAATCAGCCAGGGTCAGCCTCGAACTCACCACCCCAAACTAGAATTTTCGCTCAACCATTCAATGGTTCTTATGATTTCTGGTTTCTGATCAAAAAGATGTGACTCCATTTCTCCGGCGAAATTTTGGTTTTAACAGTCGCAGGTCTACATTGTCCTTTTTGGGGATGCCGTCAGAGTATGTGTCATGACAGGCTTATCTCCCGTGTAGATCTCAAAGGGGTCACTCCAACGAAAGACTTGAAATTTTTGTAAAACTAGCCGTTACATTAGAATAGAAATACACTTCACATTCCAGTATCATGTCAGATACCACTGAAGGGTCATCTCCATTCTCGCCACCTTTCTGCGTCAGTGAGTAATGCAGGAAAAAAGAGGGAAGAAATTAGATTTCAATCTATCGAAAAGGCAAATAACAAACCTCTCTGGTATGGCCGTAAAACCAGCATGTTACCCCTGATGAGTTCTCGTATTTTTCAGACGATACAAAAACATTTCAAGAATATTTCCTGCTCTCTCGAATTTTTTACACGATCTCAGTGTTTGAAGTCACTATTTCTCCGAGTATCTTATTGATTGCCATGACCTCATATCATCACCGAAGAACTCAAATTACACGCACATGCGAACACTTGGCTCTTTGTGCTTGTATTTCAATCGCCTGCAGTGGTTCCTTGTAGTCGCACGCTGACGACGCTCGCCCTTCGTCAGATTCTTTCGGGCAGAAAAGCGACGGCAAGCGAACTAACGCACAATCTCCACGTAAAACTGAAGTTAAAAACTTAGTGCTGCCGACAGTCAAATGATGATCACGAGGTTCTTAGTATTGCTGTGGCTCAGTAATTGGGTAATCGGAACGTTCAGTGAAAGTAAGACACGATTTAATTGTCTAAATACATTGAGTGTTAAACTAATCTACTAAAAGTATTCTAGGAACTATTATCACCCTACCTACAAATTTGTTTAGACTTGTGAATTATACTCACTAAAAACAAGTCTGCATTTGTCTTAAATCAGCATAATTACTAATGGATTTTTCTACATATCACCTTTCCGGCCATTTAAGTCACAGAGCTTATTGTTTTGCACAATGCTCCTTACAATCCAAAGCGCGAGTTCTACAATGTCTTTCAAGACATGAACGGGTAATTGATAACCTGTATATTACAACCTTCGTTTGAAAAACAGCCCCTAGAGACCCAAATACATTACATTAAATCGATATTAGCACGAGATACAAGTAGTTGATCACCATTTCATCACAACAGTCACGTGCCGCGGAAAGCAGACGAATTTCGCGTCCTCACAATAGTCCAGTAATTTTCTCTTTTCCCTCTGAATCTAAAGGCCAGTTTGAATATTGCATTTCGATCAATTATCTTCAAATCCTTTTCCTATCAACAAGATAATGTTTTGTCTGTGTCAGCAACGCCAGCTGCCCTTTTTTCGTAAGGCTACCGACCGAATTTGTCGCAGGTCAAGTGAGGCATGTAACTTAACAATGTAGTAAAGAACAGAGTCGTTAGCTTGACATGGAGACATAACATGTAACACTGTGTCACAGATTCCGCACTTGGACGCTGTTCCACTTTACTACTGTAATGATCATGCCATTATTAGGGTTAGGGTTGTCATATGTGACACACGTCCAGCCTGCTGTTAGGAATAGCAATGCCGAAAGCTTCATGTGAGTAACTGGAATAAGAAAGATGGTAACTTTTGAACTCGGCAATGGAATCAAGATTTTACATGTTTTTCTGTATCGTCACAAGCGTGAGACAAAGAGAAAAAATCGTTGGACGCAGAATAAACACGAAGTCCTGCGTCAGTATGTAAGACCATGAAACGACTCGAGGCTTCACTTTTGTTATTGCAATCAAGATCATTTGGTTCCCGCCTTTTAAAAACTTGAATAAGATTCTTAAGATTCCATTAAGCCTTCAATTACGTGTCGCCTATCAATAACGCAGTAAGTGATTATGACTCCAGGCTGATCTTAGAGTGGTCATGTGAATGACCAAAGTTTTAACAGTCTGTGCGGAAGTCAAACGGTACTTACACACATGCTAACCTTAGGCTGATACAGAACTTTAAAAAGGAAAACTATTTAATGATAATACCATATAGACTCAGTAAATAGATTAATATAACCTATGATAATATCGATAAGAGATTTACAATAAAAAATGCATACAACTTGAAAGCTAAAATTTTCGAATGACCTCAACTTTTCTTTTAAAATTAATCTAATACCTTGAAAAAAGTAATAATGATGAAAATTTTATCCCATCTTCAGTGTTAACACCTTGACTCTGATAATTGTTTTGGGTAATTGTTGTTGCTTCTAGAAATTTCCAGACTGCCTAGTCATGCTGACTTACGCGCCAAAGAACTTTCCAGAACATTTCATCAAATTACACATTTATTATGTAATACTCCTAAAATAGTTCCCATGTAAGCTTCTGGAATGTTCCAGAACACTTTGTGAATATATACAAAGACTCACTTATGTAGTAGTTGTTGTTGTCGGAGCGACGGCTGTTTTGAAAGCTATACCGAGAGAGAGTTACTGCGGATGATGGCTTATTTCAAGGAACTTCGGAGACAGCGGTGAGATTGTGTCATTGGTGAGCTAGGATATAGACTGAGTGGGGTTAATTAAGTTTATTAACGATAAGTATCGTACTGCTTTTGGAAGTCGCTCCTTGTTAAGAACATTATTCGCTGTTTAATAAAGTAGTTGAGTTTGTGGGATTGTAGTGTTTTTCTGTCGGTTAGATTATACCGTGCTGTTGCTGATTTTTCCAGTTCATTATGTTAACTGACAGCCTGCCTTATTAGCAAGTTGACCGAGTAGTGTGACTGTCTGGGGAAAGGTTGTCAAGACAGTTATTGGTGGAAACGACCTTTTTAATAACCTTTTCGAGCAACGTTGATAACGTTTATAAACTCCGACGATGACTTCAGCGCTAGTTATCGAAACGTCAGTGACTTCTACCTATTACAGACATTTTCCCCCTCAGACGGTCACATGACTTGCGTAAAGGACTCAACTGATTTTGTGATAAAGACTGCAAGTTCCTGTTTGTTCCTGTATTATCAATAAATTAAGAGCAAATGTGTACTACACGTTTCGTTATCACACCGTAAATAATAATTTCTGGTGTAGGAAACATCAAGACAAATTCGTACAGGATAAGACGGCAAACAGACGTCACTGATGGGGATGGGGTAAGTCACTAGTTGTCTGTATGGGTCTTGCAGCCCGGACAAGTGAAATTTGCGTCTGTAGGTTCAAGTCGCAGTTTTAACCTTACGGTATTTTTAATGTCGATTGCTTGTCATTGCGCCTGACTGCGTTCGCTTTTTACATTAGGACCAACAGACCATCACTGTCACAGGGGAACCAGGAGATGCTGGAGCCGAAGGAGAACGGGTTGGGGAAAAGTATTTCTCTGCTTTTGTGCACATCTTTTTTCTGCTTGCGAAAAATGATGACTAGTCTACATTTACCGACGCGGGTGCGAAATTTACGTACAAAACAAAGGACGGCATACTCATGTGGCTTAAAGGAGTATTTTCATTTAACTGTAAAATATAAATTTAACTGACAACTGAAGTGCATATGCGATAAATAACTGATATGGTGCCCCGGCCCCCTCCAATCTCTATGGTTGAGTCAAAAAATAAAGGCGTCAGTTGCCAGATTTTCACACAGATTTTTGGTTTGTTCGAAGAAAGGAAATTAAAGAAATAGACTACATTTTATTGCAGTAAAAAAGTATGCTACACTTGTCTTTGTATCAATAAAACATGTCTATGTGACGATCTGACCATTGCATACCCCTTTAATGTCTATTACAATTAACTGGGTTCGACTGTAGTTTTGACTGAAATGACTCTGAGAAATAACGTTTCATGCTATGCGTCCTGTGTGTCAAAAAAAAACAGTCACGTTCACACACCTACGCCTATCATCATCGCATTTTTAATATCACTGTATAATCTGCTGCAGGGCCCACCTGGATACACAGGACCCCCAGGAACACAGGGACCGAGAGGATCACGGGTAAGTTATCAAGAAATAAAAATAACCGATCGAAAGCGAGGACTAGGAATTAATGGGTTAGTTAATGTGGGAAGCCTGTGCCTTTGAAAAATAGGCACAGTGCTTTGTCACTTATCAGAAGAGTTTCAGTTTTTAAACGTAATTTGTTGAGATTCAACCTGGTATATCTACTGAAAGACTTTTCACCACACTCTTCGCTGGCTTTTCTCACAAGGGTCCCCAAGGCAGCAGGGGTCAGCAGGGTATTACAGGACCTCCTGGTCTCCCAGGCCCGCCAGGACCCCCGGGAACCACGCTGGTAAGTGCAATTCTTTTCTTCTTAATGCTAGGTTAGAAAAAGAAATTGTCCTGCGCAAACTCATTCTGGCAAGTAAAGGGAAGCAGCCGAGTGAAGTTGGTGGAGAAATTCGACGTTTTGACACTGATGCTTTCATCAGAAACGTTATGTCAACGTTGTGCAGGTTGAAAAAGCTTCGCTTCGATGTTCTGTAATGAGATTCTTTTCAAGATTCCATTTACAGATAAGATGCCATAATCCCTTGAAGCGCTAAGGAAGGTGACGTAAGGCGAAGAAGCTTTTATTTCTTTGCCGATCTTTTCATGACTCAATCTGCTCATGTTCCTCTTATTCTTGTAGAGTAAGTTGTCTTCCTCTCAATTGCAACTTAAATTCTAACAGGTGGGAGCTTTTACAGTTAAGGTCTCTCAGCAATCTTATCATCACAGGCAGTTTTCTTCAAAGAAATTATCGTAATCCATTCCCTACTGCCTCTTATAAGAAGCAATCTTCACGACACGAGGTGCCTAAGAATGGTTTTGTGGCTTAATCCGTCGCTAATTGAATTTTTGCAGTACGAGTCGATACCTGGCGAAAAGGGACCTGTCATTCGACCAATCGTTGTGACAACAGCTGCCATAAAAATGAAGGTACTGAATGGTCGGTTTTGTAATCAGCCTCAGTAGGTGGTGAGACTGTTCCTCGTTGAACATGAGATCTTAAGGCGACGCGTGACAGTTGGAATGGGGGCTGCGGATAAGTACGTAGAGGGAAAGGGTGGGGTAGAGGGGGCTAGGATGGTTGGAAGACTATAAGGCTACAAGACTATCTTACTGTTTGAATGTCAAGCTGTAGATTAGTATATCGTCATCAACTACTGAATGTTCTATAAAATAAAAACCTCACTCTCACGAAATAAAGAGGAAGATTCCTTGTTGTTGTAACCACACGCATTTCTCTTTACTGACTCTGTTAGGTAATTAGAGGAGCTCCTGGAGCCAAAGGACTTCCTGGCTCAAGGGTGAGTGTTGATTGGCTTGTTTTAGTCTCATTGTCAAATCTAACTGAAATAAAAATTCTGATATCTTTGAGAGATTTGCTTCTTATTCTCACCAGGGCATGATGGGTATTTCAGGAGAGCCGGGAGGAATTGGTGAAATGGGCGTCAATGTAGGTACCAGTCTTCTTAATTTTGAACATGGAACTTCAAGTTAAACTTCGTTAGTAATATTTACCTATGAGAGAGGAACCCACCAATCGAAAGCTTTTCTTAGCAGTAAGACTATCAATAAAAGATCCTGTAGTTTCCTTGCTTAATTGACAACAATATTAATTATACCACGATAACTTACATTCTTCTATTGTGGCTCCAGAATTTTTCAGAGAAACTTGACGACTAGCTCTAACTTGTTATAATTCATACTTTTTCTCGCATATCTTATACAATATCCAACGTCTTCAGGGCTAGAAAACATTTTCTTTTCTTTCAGGGAGAACGTGGTGATCCTGGTGGACCAGGTCTGCCCGGATTAGATGGAACTCCAGTGAGTCCAACAATGCTCTATGTACTTTCATTTTCAGCAGGTGACAATTCAAAGGTCAATGATAGAATAATAAACATTTTAAACAGTTCAACCTCAATTTTCTACAGGGTGAGAGAGGAAAACCTGGCAAACAAGGGCCTCCTGGTATGAAAGGATATCAAGTGAGTTGGACAGTTTTTTTTTTTAATGTTCAGTAGATAGCAACCGTTTTCACCGTCGAAAGAAAAACATTAACGCACAAAGCTGAAAGAAATAATGTGGTTGTATTGTGCATCTCATTTGCAACTGTCTTGTAAAGCAAACATTTTGTGGAGAATCATCAATCTTAACTATGTAAACTATCTGCTAAACCTTACAGGGTGGTATTGGCGACTCCGGTTATGATGGAGTCCTGGGTCGTGATGGTCACCGCGGAAGGCGTGGTAAACCAGGTCCTAAGGGTTTCCGTGGTGACGACGGAGACGAGGTAAGAATGAAGTCAAGTGAACTGTAGAACGCTGCCTTCTTATTGTGATAAGGCATCTGCCTTGGAGAGAGCCTTAAAAGCGATAATCCGTGAAACTGGAGCCAGATCGGAAATCTGCGGACACGCAGGTTAACCGATTTGGCTCAAATTTTGCATGTAAACTTGAATAGGGGTTCTAATCACGAAATGGATATTTTCAGACCCTTGCCCGACATTTACGGACTATCGCTCTTAAGATAAGTCAAACTCCTGGCAAGGAAAATTAGGTGATTCACAGTGACGAAGAGGTAAGAGTTCAGAGTTTGCTTGTTGCAGCACACGCACCCAGTAATTCACTAAAAGCCAGACAGATCAAATTTATATCAACGTGGATTTATTTTAAGGGTTAATTTGTCGCTTAAATTGGAGAATACAAGAGAAAAAAAAAAAACCCCTTCAGTTTATTTGTGTTCTGATGTTCCTTTTAACAGTGACGTCTGCCTTCTAATCAGGGGTCCGTAGGACCGGATGGGACTCAAGGACTTGACGGTGAACAGGTAAGGAGACTGAATTATCTCATCTATTACAATAAAATAAAGTTGTTACTTTTGCAGTTTCTGCTCCCCAACATCTGAGATAAGCTAACACCGGAGATTTGAAGAAGGTCAAGACCCGCTATTTTCCCTTGGAGTCGCACATGATAATAAAAACGTTTGTGGTTTTATAAATATATATATATATATATATATTTTTTTTTTTTTACATTTCGTAAGGGTAGTCCATTGTCTCTTTCAGGGAGATCCTGGGCCCCATGGAAGGCAAGGAACTGTGGGATATCCTGGTGACCTTGTAAGTCACGTCTCACAAGAAACGGTCTCAAACTTCCGATATCTTCGACCAGTTGTTTCAATGTGCGATAACTGTTTGCTCTGAACATTTCCTTAGAACTTAATAACTGGTTTAGGTTAACGCTTGTGACATCCTCCAAAAACCTATGCATAATGTTACCAGACTTTGGAAAAACAGAATGCTTTTATTAACAAGCATGGGAAACGTAATTAAATGTGGAGCATGCACGGATTTAGGTCTGTTAACAACAATAAACATCGGATTTTTGCTTTTACCGTGGGATTTTTTGTTTTAGGGAAGTCAAGGTAAAGCAGGAGCTGAAGGAGACATCGGGCTTGAAGTAAGCAAAGAGAGATGTCTCTTTATCAAAAAAAAAAAATAATAATAATAACTTAAGCTTCAAATATTTATGTTACGGTTGGCGACTTTTCTCTTGTTAAATCGTTTCAAATGTCTTCCCTATCATTCTGCCAGGGATCTAAAGGAGTAGCGGGGCCTCCTGGTCTCCCAGGCCCCCCTGGGGAGGTAGGGTCAACGGGACAAGCGGGTGAAAAGGGACCCCTGGGATATCAGGGGGAGAGAGGCTCCAGGGGCTCCACAGGAACTCAGGGGCCCCCTGGAAACAGTGGGGATGACGGCATCCAAGGTGGTCCAGGCTTCAAAGGAAGACAGGCAAGTGATGGCTTTGCTGTGTCCTAGTGATACTCGTGGCAATAAGCTATCATTATCAATAATTTAGATGAAGTGTTAAATTATAGAGACTCAAGAGAAGATAAATATATGTTATTTGCCGGCTAAGGGTCGGTCCGTATGGTGAAACACTGTGACCGAGGTCTTGAAAATACTGCCCGAGGCCGTAGGGCAGCATTTTCAAGACTGAGTCAAGTAAACTGGGTACTGGGTACTGGCAATAGAGGTGATGCAAATTCAAGAGAGATGCCTCAGCGAAACATTTTCATTTCCGTAAAGATAATTTAAAAGGCTTCCAAACAAACTTTGAAACATTATTTTTACAAGTATCTGTCACAATCTGACACCTGTCAATTAGAGAGCGCGCAAGTAAAAAAAAGCGTAAGAACATTTGAAAAACAACGGAACTAGTTTGGAAAGGACTGTCACGACAATATTTTCTTCAAAAACAGTCAATGATCTGACGGAAAGTATCATTCACTCTCATCGACGATTCATTCATGTACGAAGATTTACCTCTGTTCATTAAGTAAACGGCGAGGAAAGTAATTGTGAGTAAATTCAATTTTTTTATTTTGAAGTTGTGAGAGTTTGCTCGTTTGTTTGCTGCAATGGCTTGTGTAAATCTGGTCTTTCCTTCACAAAAACTAAATTCGAATGGCACACTCCAACGAGACACAAGGGGATTTAATGCGGCCTTTTCTCAAAAATTCCTTCAGTTTCTGTTGTGCAATTTACGGTACAAATGTTCAAATTGAACGGACCTGGAAAAACTCACCGAGAGCGTATGTTTGTTGTAGAACTTAAATTAAAACTTCGCTCGCTCTTTCACTGCGAACAAATTGCTTGAGAAAATTCAGGTATTAATTGAATGAAAGTTCCATCGTTCAGTTTTTCAGTTGTGAACGATTAAAATTAATTGCAGACGGGTTTTAGGCCGCTTGTCAACCAAGGTAATGACACTATTGTTTATACAAATTCATTCTGAAACCAATATTTTTCTGTGAACCAAAGCAATCTGAGTGAGAGAAAAGAGAAGATTCATAAGTTATTCATCGGCTTTAGGTGGTGACCGACGTGTTTGCTTAAAATACTGCCCAGCCGACCCACTCACAAAAGCGTTACCGTGGCTCGTGGGCAGAGATAGGAAAATAATGACCGTAAAGAACCAATCAGATTGCAAGATTCGTTACCGTGCCCTCTCAAAAAAAAATAAGTGTAGTTATCTAACTACTAAAAGATATAACAATTATAAAAACTTAAATTATGCACTTAAAAGAATGTTTCCCAAAAGGCCAACAGGAACCCGTTATCTAACTCTTTTTTTGTGTCATCAACTTCTGTAGGGTGAAGTTGGTATCAATGGACTCGAAGGCAGTCAAGGTCCTTCTGGAGAAAGGGTAATTCGATACCTTGATACTTCTAAAACAAAGCTTGGATCGTATCTTAAAAGTTGCTTTAAGTGATCATTTTTTCTCAGCAACTAAGATTATTTTTAACCACTCTTGTATGCTGATTTTGAAATAGGGAATTCCTGGAGATGCAGGGCCAACTGGAGGAGACGGTCCACTGGTATGATTTGTTTATTGGCTCCAATGGAGCAACATTCTTTGTAGCTGATTGGCTGTTTGTGTCGTGTCAAATGTTTAGTATCTTATTCGTGTGTCTTTTTAAACTTTAATACCTTTTTATCAATGAATATAACTTGTCGTTTGAGGGAATTCATTCAATTTGACAATGTATTTGCGCTTTAATATTCTAGGTTGAGGGGGTGGGAGACGGACAGTATGATAAGGATAACGTTTCATAAAATACATAATACGCTCTGTTGCAGCTTTACCTTAACAAAATAAGCACAAGCCAAACAAAAGAAGCCACGTTATACGGTGTTTAAAATGAAATAACATCACAAGTACGCATAGGTAGCTTTGAAGTAAGTGCACGGTGAGTAAGAGACATCAGACTAACTTGATGTTATGCACTTTGAAGGGTAACTACGGAGAACCTGGAGCGCGCGGAGGACCTGGGGATAAAGGAACAACGGTAGGGCCTTTTGATCATCTTTACTTTTATTTACAACATAGCTCTCGAGTAAATATCCATGGCACCTAGGAAAGACTAATTTAACGAAGCTTTTTTTTTGTGGCTATTGCCTCCGATAGGAGGCGAACCACATATGTCGTCGAAAGAGTGGGTGAGTGTAACAATAGCATTCCCGCCGATCTTGACCCAATCTTGTTCATAGAGCGCTAATTCACTTGCCAATTTGTCACCAGACAATTTTTTCTCGAATAGTTCAAAAAGCAAATCACGTTCAAAGCTGTACTTTAAATCAACCAATCACAACCTTGGTTTCGATCACCATAGAAACAGTGTACTGACTCTTAATTGGGGCTTTCTTCAAAATGGGGAATTTCAAAGCGACATTAAACAAATTACGCCTCCTTTATCATTCTATAAATTATAAATTGCATGATTAGTTAGTAATAAAACTTCGAGCGCTCGCCCTTCGCCAATCGCTCTGACGAAGGGCTAATGCTCGAAACGTCAGCTTTTAAACTCTTTACGGTGACCAACTTACGTTATCAACTCAGTTGGTTATACTAAATCACCCTGTTATGCCGAAAATAGCCGCTAAATTTGCCAAGCGAGCAAGCTGCAAAATACGATACCTTGAGCTAATTAAAAGAATAATAAAACGGAGGAACGGTGGATAAGCGGAATAGCAGAATATCTTAAGACGCGGAATGACGGAATATTCTAAAACATGGAATGCTTTTTTGTATGAAGTAAAAGTCTCAAAAAATTCAATTTCAATTACATTAGAAAATAACATAATTAACGGGCGAAATTAAAAGAAGAACCCTAACTCTAATCATTGTTGAGGCTCAGAGCGGGATAGGAGAGCATAAGACTTTCGATCTAGCCTCTTTAAATAGTTTTTATATAACTATTCCTATCATTATTACTATTGTTAATATTATTATTCGTTACCATTTAATTATTGGTTAAATGTCAATTAGACAATATATTCTTGAATAATTTTTTGTGGAACAGGGCACTCTTTGATATGTGGGTTGCAGCAAGTTTTCTGTTTTGCATGTGAGACAAATCTAATTCTGCAGCATTACCTTGTGGCGCCATTATACAACCTCTGTTTCTATTCAATACTATACCAGTATCCACATGCTGTCTTTGACGGTCTGTTTTCCTCTTTAGCTGGTCCCGTCTGAAAATTCTCACCGTAAAGTTTGGCATGATTAGACCACCATTCTTTAAATGAACCGCAGCAAAATTGTTGTCAAAGAGAAATCTGTAGAACATGTTTTAAACAATATAATAATGTAACAAATAATTACAGTGAAGATATCAGAATCAATTAAATAACCCTCTTTATTGGGTTTTCGCCATTTAACTTACATAAAACTAGTCAAGAAAAGGAATAAACTACAGCCGAACCAATATTAAACAGCACCGTATTAAGTGGTCACCCTGTGTTAAGTTTTCAAAGTCCCGAAATTTTGCTTCTTAATCACAATCATTTTCATCTCTATTCAGCGGTCGTGGTAACCCCTGACTGACTCCTAGCGGCCTGTTTGTATTGTCCTCCACCTGTACTGAACGGTCTCTTAGAACGGAACCACTTAAATAATAATAATCTCTCAAGTAAAATTTAATCCATGTTCATCTCCCGAAATCAAAGTTAGTAGTACTTTGAGCGAGTTTTTGTATACTAAGTGATCCATTATGGAATAGAATGGCGTTTTCATCCTTTTGTTTATTACCCCCATTCTATGGAACCTATAAAAAGTTGTCACTGCGTCATTATCCATCCCTACAGGTTCGAATGTGGTCCTATCAGGGAAAGCAATCGGGATAAACTTGACAAAATTGAAAGGAACGCAAATAAATACGACTACAAAACATCAGTAATTACTTAATCCAGGTCAAACTATGCCGATCAATGTGCATGTTAAACTTACATTTGACAACTTCAGAAATTTACCTTGTCCGGTTCTATAGCAATAACTACTACTTACTTTGTCTTTTTAGGGTCGGCACGGAGCTCCTGGGAGTCTTGGTTTGCCAGGAGGACGTGGACTTAAGGTAAGGGGTAGAGAATGACAAAGGCTCTATGAAAAGCTTGAGATTCACAGTCATGCTGATTGAAGACGTTTGTACTTCCTTCGTTTTTCTCTCACTGTAGGGAAAACAAGGTCATCCAGGACCACAGGGTCAGTCTGGTCGTGAAGGAGATCAAGTGAGTGAGTCTTACATATGATCTGTCGTTACTACAGTTAATGACCAGCAAGGATAAATAAAGTCCCCCCTTTCAAGATTAGCCCAAAGTGATCTTCTCGCGATTAAAAGTCAAAGGCAGAACTAAAAGAAGAGGACATCAGAAGCTTTCCTTTGAGATCATGTCAATGTCATCGTAAGGACTTCCTTAGGTATTTTTTTAAATCAAGCAACTGGCCATTTCTACTTACCTAGGGCTTTAACTGTGGCCCGTGCTGCGTAATCATCTGACCCCGGTTGTTCAAAGGTTGGATAACGTTATCCACTGGATAAAACTCTATCCGTTGGATAGCGCAATACGTTTTGCTATCACTTATTCGCTGGATAGCGTTATCCGTTATATTGGATAGCGTTATTCGCCATTTATACAACTGGGCCCTGGATGAGAGCAGCCCTTAAAAGGACTGTTGTCGGTTTCAGTGACGTTCCGACAACGTCAGGGGAAGTGAAGTGAGATTTTTGTTTGAAAAACTACAAAAACTTAGCGATACTAACATGCGGAAATTGAGTGGTTTTGCGTGATCTGTACTCTTATCGACAACGATATTCGTCATCACGGTGGTCAAAATGTTGCGAACTTATGAAGCGCAACCGAGTGAGCCCACAAAATTTTGACTACATTTAGTTCAAATTTTGACCACTGTGATGACAGTATCGTCGATAAGAAGAAAGACCACGCTAAACCACTTTCTATTTGTTTTTTATCGGAATATCGACGTCAATTAATTCTTTCAGTGCGTGTGATCCATGTTTGGAAGATGATAGAGGCATTGTGTGACACGTTGATGCGAGCAGCATTGTCTGTACTCTTATCGACAACGGCAAATTGGCCAATCGGATTGCGACATTAGTGCCAATTGAAGTTAAATTTATGTTATTTTGAGAAAAAGCATCATGCACATCGTTACTATTCAAACGATCTATCGAAATTCTACTTGTGCTGCATTCTATTTTTGTTGTGTTGACAGGGAATATCTGGTGGCCTAGGCCTGAATGGAAGAGAAGGATCAACTGGTGCAATGGTATCATATCGCTATCTTGTCTTTCAGTGTAAATGCTTCACCATTTTTAAGTTGTTTTTCCGTTATTATGGTTAACTAGATATCGCAGAAAAGCATTCTGATTAACGTCCACACACATCAGTCGTGGCACAATAACTATACTATGGCTTAATAGGATTTCATCACTATCAGTGTTGTTCCTGGTAAATTTGACAAACTCTAAAATGGTGAAATTACCGAATTATCATACATTTGTCTGGACATAACGATTTTGCTCTTTTTACTTTGTAACATTAGGAAATGCTGTTAAAAGTTAATTTTTTTTAAATTCTAGGGCTCCATGGGTCACCGAGGAAACAGAGGAGAGCGCGGCAGTAAGGGAACCAAAGTAACCAACATGTTTACAGTTATTATAATTAAACATTGCCGGGATAGATAACTATCATTACTATCAATAACTTGAAGGTGCTGTTCCTTTTGCGGTCAATTCCTATTTATATTAAAAAATAGTCATTGATAGGTGTGAGTATCTTATAATAAATGGTTGCTATTGTGGTGTGATGGTGCGGGTCACCTATTGTCAACAAGCGAACATACGTAAGGAAGCTAAGCATTCAATTTGGGAAACTACAAAATTCCCCTTTAAAGAAAGACAAACGGCCTTATTGGTCAAAATTCACATCCTGTTTATTATTCTTTCCCTCCCTTGATAGGGCGGAGGAGGAAGAGCAGGGCCTCCAGGATCACCCGGTCTTGCTGTAAGAAATCATCTTGTTGAATGACGAGGAACTACGTCAAAGTGTTGAGCATTACTTCTGGTTACTTTTATCGATGATTTTCATTCATTTTGATTTGAACTCGTGCTCCTGACGATGAAAAACTGATCTTTTGATTAAAGAAAAAGAAAAAAATAATAATAACAAGGAAAACAAAACAGAACAAAAGAAAAGGAACGGAAAAGATTGCATGGGAGAGAACATTTAAGATATAAACGGTTCATAGTTATCATACCTTACAGTACAGCTACACACTTTTTCAAAGATATCTAAAGGCAAAACCTGGAAATGTAGATGTATATACTAGGAATCATTGTTGTACAAGTGTTCTATCGGTAAAGCGAAACCGGTGATAAAGCGAAACAGGAGTTCTCTCTGAGAGCCACGAAGTTATACGCAAGAATCTTTTACGAAATAAAAATTTTCCTGCTTGAATCCAGGGTCTCCGCGGATGGCGTGGTCAGCTGGGAGGAGGAGGGACGCCTGGAATCCCTGTAAGTTGAAGGACTTGAATAATACATGGAGTGCGTATATAGTTCATCTTCGAGTGTTCAACCCGATAGCTCGCGGGTGAGCGCAACGAGCGAGTAAGATAACCAGTTAAACAGGAGAAGAGAAATTCCATATCTACAAGCAACCTGAATTGTTTTGTTTATTACATGAACAAAATAACCCTTAAAGACGAAAAGAGTCCACTCTATTAATGAATAAAAAAGTGAGATCCACCCCCGAAGAAAAAAATTGTAAAGTTCGTTTCTCGATAAAGCTCAAGATGAAAAAATGTGTTAAATCATTACAAAAACAAACAATTGCCGTAACTTCCAATTTACAAAAATTCGACAGGGGTCGACTTTTTCCTTTCTGACAGAATAAATATTTTTAGGTAAACGGCCAAAATCGGCTGTGGCAAATCTTCCAGTTGTCGATTTTCGTTCTCAGCCGCGAGAAATGCTATTACGAAAGGCACTTAGTACGTAACTTTCGGTTTTTCTTTTTGCATTTTGGTTTTGTTTTCCGCCTGGGAAATTTTGAACGTCACTGCCTGTAAGCAATATGAATTTTTCAGTGTTTTGACAACCATAATCTGAGAAGAATTTGACAATCGACGCTGCATAGCGATATCAAACACACGTAAAAAACTATCGCATTATTGCGGCTTTTCTGAAGGCTGGAAATCCATGTAAAACACCGCAGTTTATATGATAAACGATACTAATAACGCGGGTAGAAGTTAAGTCCTGTTAAGGGTTCTGATGGTCACACATTTCACGGTTACAAGGAAAATTCCCGGATAATGGCTATGATGATGATTTCGATGAAAATCAGTACGACACAGTCACAAACCTGATTTTGTGGCATTTTAACCTAAGGTTTAAGACTCCATGCAATTACAATTTAAAATAAACATGATTATTTCTTTATCTTTTCCATTTGCTCGTAGGGAGAACTTGGAGACAATGGCCGGCCTGGTAGACAAGGGAAGGGTGTAAGTTGAACCTCAGATTGCAAGTTGAAGCCCGATAAAAAACATCTTGGCTTGTAGATTTGTATCTTAATATGAACATGGTTTATACAAATTATGCAATTTTAGGGTTTGGCTGGTGTGGCAGGACTGATGGGATCAACAGGAAAGAAAGGACAACGGGTAAGATGACCCACCGAATTCAAGAAATTTCTTTTATCTTTTTAGTCTCTCTGGCCGTCCTGGCAAGAAAGAGAGTGATGCGTAGCCAAGGTTATTTGAAGTGCTGAAAACCAAAGCCATGAATAAACATATCAAGAGTTTGCAGTCTAACAACATTATTTGCATTTGTTGAGCAATCGATCGATCAGAGTCAATGCCCCATTAACGTCAGTTATGGCTAAGGTATTCATTTACATTTGATTTTAGGGTCCTCAAGGAAAACTTGGAACACCTGGTTTGACCGGTAAAAGTGGCCCTAAGGTAATAAGCAGAACTGAAGGTACAGTAAGGAAAACTGAAACGATGTTGAGGAAATATGTAGAGCAGCTGATCCTCCTTTATTAAAAATAATCAGAATACTTATTCGTAGCATCTCTTTCTAGGGAAACAGGGGTGCAGCTGGGGAGCCAGGCAAAGTGGGAGCCACAGGGCAATTGGTGAGCCCTGTTAAGTTCACCGATAGATTATCATTCATAATATTTATCCTCTTATACATAGAAATAACAGATAGCAAAGGGATTCTATTTTCTAACAATGCGAGGTGTTGGCAGAGATGCATCTACACACCCAATCAGAGCCTTATTTGAGAAGGCCTTTAAATAATGTTATCCTTGCTTCTTTTTTGCAGACACTTGTATCTTAGGCTGTTTGAGAAAAAAAGCCAAAAGTAGTTGCTAGAAAAATAAAATAACAGTATCAATATGCCTCATTTTCAGGGTCGAGCGGGACCTGGTGGTGAAACAGGAGAACAGGGGCTTCCCGGTGACATGGTAAGGAACTGTATTTGATTGTAAATATCATGTAGTGAATTATTGCTATTATGATTCATGAGTGGGTGCTACCATCTCATAAAAAACCCAACTGGACAAACGTACACAACCAAGTATTATCATTATTGTTATTACTATCATAAACATAATTCTTATCATTTTATAATTATTATCATCAATATAGTTATGTTGTTGTTATTATTATCATCATTTTCATTGACACAAAAATTACATTAAATCTGTTTTCTTTTACTGCCTACTCTTAATAAAGGGTGAAACAGGCTCTGAGGGTGTCCAAGGAGAAAAGGGCGAGCAGGGCAGAATGGTATAAGATGATCTTCTCTTTCTGTATTAGGGTTTTTATGTCATGCTTATCTACACCAGTATTAATCTCTTACTAACCGAATACAAGAGCCATACTGGGGAAGGTCATCCGGAGGTTGTGGTAGTACAGATCGAATGCAGCAAGGTACATTAAAAAACAACTGAGGGCCAATATTTCCCAGTATGGCTCGAGAAAGTGAGGTTAATAAGTAGTTAAGAGCATAGCACATGGAAGGCAAAATTCCAACCAAGTAAAAACCAATCAGAACTTTGGTATTTACCTCAGAACTACCTTGCCTTATAAAAGATTACTTCTCTTTTACCAGGGTTTGAAAGGTGATCGAGGAGAAAATGGTTTTCCAGGAAGAGAGGTAATAGCTTTACTGAAAAATGCGAATACAAAATGGTTTTCGTCTAAAGTCAGTAACAACTTTGTTGGAAGAAAAAGCAACAATAATAAATATTTCAAAGCTGGATGTTTCAAGCTTTAGCCCTTCGTGAGAGTCCTTAGCATTTCATGCTGACACTCAAAACGTTCAGCCTAGAAACTCATTATAATAGCCAATTTAAATTATCAACTGAGTTAATAAAACCAAATTTATCTTATTATACTCCCCCACCGACGCAGCACCACGGTTTCTTTAGAAATTTAGCCTCTTTATTCAATAATAAACATTATCACATAGAACAACTCCTAAATGAGTAATTCAAGCTAGAATACTACGGCACCTAAAAAAAACAAATAAACAAACAGAAACAAAGCTCCGATGGGTTAAATGTTGACAAAACTAATTGGAATAACTTGGCCCTTGGTGAGTGCATGCATGCTCTAGAGTGAATTCGAGCACATCTGCTAGCCTTGTGGTGTTATAGAAAACATTAATAAATAATCGGAGAAAAAACAGCTCCTTGTCTTAAGAATGAAAAACACCACCTTTAAATGTAGTCAGTGTAGTGTGAAGAAGGCTTCATTTAATTTCCTGGTAGGGAGATGCCGGTATTTCTGGGATGGAAGGAGAAACAGGAGACATGGTAAGTTAAACCAATTTTTATTGCTATAAATTAGTAAAGAACTAACTGTTCTGTTTCTTGCATAAACTGTGTGTGGTGACACTTTGTTTTCTATTAGTCCATGTGGTTCATCGTGGGCTCGTACCATTTCTTTGTCTTAACTGGCATTGTATCACCCCCAAATCAACAAGGAAAACAGTAAAATTGATCACTACCTTTGCTTTTTTTTTTCTCTTTCTTGATATATTTAAATGAAAATTCGAAAAATTCTACTGATGCATTAATTAAGATAGCCAATATCATGAGATTTCCTAAAAATAACATGCCTATGGTCCACTAGAAAATTTGTATCATTATTTGCAATTTTCAGGGCAGTGTTGGACCACAAGGCATTCAAGGAAATATTGGCAGACCGGGAAATATGGTCAGAAAACAAACATTATCAGTCAAACTAAAACATAATAAACTTAATTTAAACCGCCTCCCGGTTAGCTCAATTGGGAGGGCTGGACTGTCTATGACTGTCGTTAAATAACTTTATAATGAGTACCTGTACTCAACATTTTCCCCGTCCTGCTTCTCCTTTTGAAACTCTATGATGAGTTTCATGTCATCCTCGTCGTCTTTTCTGCATCAACATAAGAACAATAGTCAAGTTGAATTATTGAATGTTAGGCAATAAAGACAATACACTATCGAAGAAGGGAACTAACTCATTGTCCGAAACTGATTTAATTAAATTATCGTGGCCCTGATATTTTATACTTACACAAAGGAAAGTTGGCCTGTCCTCATAGACTCCCTCACCGGAGGTGAACTACCAAGATCCTCTAAGAGCTCGTTGGCCAAAGGCCTTCTTTTATTTCGGGTCAGCGACCCTTGCCGAAACGAGGCCGAAATGATGAAGGCGACTAAAATTTAAAGATCGAAAAAACACGAGGTTTTGGACAGACTGAGAATAATATAATATACCTTCTAGTCCGATATAATACTTAAAAAAATTTCGAAACTAATACCTTCCAATCACAGCGGTCAACAACTAGTTCGAACCAGAGCCCTGCAGTGCAGGAAAATGTGCTACCTTTCTATAATGTCAAAAAATGGATAGACATTTTAGTCTTCTCGGATAAGAACGAATAAACCGTAGGTCCCGTCTCCTGCTTCTATTAATTAGTCAATTTGGTTAGGCAGGGGACGTTAAAACCCACTAACGAGATTACTGTGATGTGGCCTGGCCTGTTTATTGGGAATTGGCCTTGTCATTGTTAACGCGGGATCCACTGTAATTGGCTATAGCTGTAGTGGTCTCCCTGCCTGAGATGATTAGGCGAAGCTAAATAATAAATAAAAACTGGGAAATTTCAAATTAAAGATGCAATGAATACTGCTAATCAAAGATATTTGAAGTTAAGGCTTTTTCCCTAAAAATTAGAATGATTTTGATAAAATGTCCTTGCAGGGATTGCCTGGACCCATTGGAACAATAGGACAGGACGGAAGCCTTGGTCCACGGGTAAGAGATGAAGTAAACTTTTTACACAAACTTGAATCTGTGCTTGGAAATAAATCTTTGTATGGGTGTAACTTGTAGGGTGCAGTGGGAGCGACAGGTGCTGTGGGAGAGCCCGGAGTCAAAGGGGAAATGGTAATTATCTCACTTATTTTGACAAAAATATTCCATTTTACCATTTGTCTTTCAGATATAGATTAAAGATTATATCAGAAGAGGTTAAGAACTTAAGAATTAAAAAGTGTCACACGAGTTGCAGTACAGTCCCCAGTTGTATTTTATTTTTAAGGGGTCACTTGTAAAATCTAGAAAAATCTCGCACACATTCTAAAATTGCTGACCCTGATGAACGAACCCAAAAAACAGTACAATAGATTTCAAGTTCAGAGTCTTTATTGTTCTCACTCCAGGGACATGCAGGTTTGAATGGCCGACCCGGCCAATCAGGATCGATGGGACAAAAGGTCAGCAATAGCTTTGATTGTTTATCATTTGGTCATCACTGATACGAAGATGAGGCTAAATATAATTATTTATGGGAAACCCTTAGAAGCAAAGGAACTAAGATATTTTTCAACAATTCATACTTGTATGAGGGGGGTTCACAAAAATTTTGAACATGAAATTCAAAGAAAGTAATTGATATCAAGACCTACATAGGTAGCTGATAGATATTGTGCATTTGTGCCACAACTTACTAAGAGTTGTGTTCAGATAGATTTTCTCTGTCTGATTAATCTTTTTTTTATGCTATCACGTTAATTATTAATTTTAGGGGGCGAGTGGAGAAAATGGAAAGCAAGGAGAACGTGGTCCAGAAGGAAACAGGGTAAAATACATATCATTACTTAGCATTTGGTATGAAAGTTATGAAGTTTAGGGTAAAAAAAGGTAGGGATACGCCAAAATAGAGTAATCTGTTCTTAAAAGACCGTTTCAATGATGTCACACTGGGACCCCTTAAATAAAATAAGACAAACAATGCAGTTACATCCAACCAATGCCCTTGTAGCCTGTGATATTGCTCAGTACAGGTTGACTCTTAATACAGGTTCCACAGATTAAAGGTATTCTAAAAAACAATAAACAACGCCACTTAATGCCATAATTAGCCATATAATGTGCAGAATCTTGCTTGAAAATGTTACTTTGATCTTGGGAGGATTAAAATTATTTGAACGATTATTCTTAGTTTTATTTGAGTGATTCAGCTTTAGGTGACCACTCAGTACAGGTGGGGGACAATAGAAACAGGCAGTTGGGACTTAATAAAGGGTGACCGCGACCGCTTAATAGCGGTGACTGCTTAGTAGAGGTAAAAAAATTAACGTGATAGTGGAGAAACAAATTCAGGAGTTACCAACTGTCCGCTTAATACAAGGTGACCGCTTGACACAGTATTGACTGCGTAGTTACTGAAGCTTTAGAAACTTAATCTGAGAATTTTATTTAGAAAATAGTCAAATTATAAAACTTCCAACCATACTTGGGTATAGCCGTACATTATGATACACTTTTGTGATTTCAGGGAACTCCAGGCAACAATGGTTTGCCTGGACTTCATGCCACTCAGGGAGACACGGTAAGAGAAGTTTTTCAACATCAGTTTAGAGCTTTACACCTTCACATTATCATGCATTAGATTTTTGGTTCTTTTACGTAGCGGATAGACTTGAGAAACTGAACACCTTGATCTATTTTGTCTGAAAACAAAACATAATATCTGTGTGTATTTGTCTTCTCCTGCAAAACAATACATCCCTTTTGGCTCCTCACATGTCTCAAGCACCTGAGTAAAAATCCATACTCTGAATATGATTGTTCTTCTCTGTCATATTAACAAGTGTGACAGCATACCATAATATTCTTTGACTCATAGGGCGAGAAAGGAGTGGCTGGTATTAAGGGTCTTATAGGATACAGAGGTCAAACGGTGAATATGCTGTTAAATTTCTACCTTAGTCTTCAGCTTAGCTGGTTATAATCTTTACATGTTTATAACAATCATACAAACAGGTTTATTTTTCACTGATCTCAGTCCCAATCCTGTTTTAAAATCCAGGCCATCATATTGGAGCGATAGTGCAATTGTTGTTTGTTCCTTACTCAGGGTCCTGTTGGAGAGATGGGTCTTCAGGGGCCAACGGGTCTAAAAGGAGCTAAGGTACAAAATAAAATGATACTTTCATTTCTATTTTTATGAATATTCAATTACCATACTCTAAAAAAGTTAATATCTGAATGGGGCATTAATTCTACTGATAAAATTTTTTAAAAATGGGTAAAGAGGCGTAGGAAGAGAAGTAGTGTTTGGTTCAAGTACACGTAAAGAGGTGAAGATTTCCAATTTCCTGGTGGGATGCTCTACCTACTCAACTACGATGAACTAGTTTGTGAGTCAGTAGATGCCTGTTTTTAAACCTTGAAAAGTACTTAGTTCATATTTGTAGGAGGAATAAAGAAAGCACCTAATCCCTGTCTCGTTTTTGCTTGCCCATCTTTTTTCCCATTTCCACTGACCTTGGGCCTTACACTATGCCAGTCCTGTGTGGAGAATTGGTGCATAACATGACACATTTTGAGTTCAGATACTAAGTGAAGAAAAACATTTCACACATGCTTAAGACTAAGAAAAACTATTTGGCACTATTTTACAACCTCAGGGTCCAAACGGAGATGAGGGGATGACTGGAGAAAGGGGAGAAGAAGGAGAACTGGTAATATAACCATCATGTTGTCTGACTTGTTCAGTGTACATATGACTGCATAATTGGAACTGAAGGACAGAGACCAGTTCTGTGACTATGATGAATGGTGGTTTTAATCACCTCCATATACTTTTTTGTCAGGGAATTGCAGGTTCTGTGGGTGCAAAGGGAGAAGCTGGTGATAGAGGAGAACAGGTCAGTAATATTTACTCAACCCACCCAAAAGAATAAAAAATCATTGATTCGCTTCTGTTGAACTATCTTTTGGAATGCAACTGAAGGTAGAGGAGATCTGAGTTACATTGAAGAAGGAAAACATTATGACAGGTAGACTAAGATATTTATTGTATTACAGTGTCCCTGTATGTGATATGTGTTTCTTTTTTATACTACTCAGGGTTTGGAGGGAGCACCTGGAGACTTAGGAAATAAAGGAGACCCTGGAATACCGGTACAGTTGAAGGGTGGGGTGGGGTGAGGACATTCACGTGTAATTTGCTTGAAACGAGATGCATTCTGAAAGGTCAAGGTGGCCAAAAACCGTATCACTCTTTGGATTGATGTTTGCTAGATTACAAGTCAAATTATGATTTGTGGTAAGCTTCCCTAAAAAAAAAAGATATTTTCACATACTAGGGAGAAGCTGGATCTGAGGGATCTCTTGGTGAACGAGGACAAAATGGCATTAAGGTAGAGTATATACTGACATGCTAAAGCTGAGTTGATAACCGCTTCTAGAATTTTCATAGGGCATCTGATTAAACGATTAACTTGATGTGTTTTTGATACATTCGACAGGGACTCAACGGTGATTTTGGACCTAAAGGTTCTCGAGGCTCAACAGGATTTTCAGTCAGTTCAACTTCGTTTTTTATTCATCTTTTAAGAATTCAAAGTCTCTATGGATTTATTGTGGAGGTCCCTCCACAGACAAAGCATGTATAACGTATTAAGCGAGATCTAAGCTATTACATAAACTCTGTTTCATTGCAGGGCTCCACTGGCTTAACTGGAAACCCTGGTGAGCCAGGACAAACTGGGGCTCAGGTAGAGAAGTACATTCGTATATCATAGCTTAAAACCCGCATGTGTCTTTTGATTTCATAATATGTAAATACCCTGTTAACCTCGACAGGGCTCTGTAGGACCACCAGGCGTAAATGGACCTTCTGGCAGCAAAGGACCAATCGTGAGTAGTACCCCATGTTTTGTACCTTCTGGAAACGCTTTTTTGATCGTAAAATCCATAACAAAAGTACAGCATCAATCTGATATACTTCTTATTTTGTACGAGTGGAACTTATAATCTCAAAGAATCGAAGTGCAACTTACCTTTATGTTCAGTGCGCCCAGTTGTTACTGATAGCTATACTATATGAATTGGTATATTTGCAGGGACTAGTTGGTAAACGTGGAGCCACAGGACAAATTGGCGGAGAAGGACCAAAGGTACAAAATGAATTCACAGTTTTAACTTTGCCATGAAATAATAACGATATGTTGGTAAGAAAAAAGAAAAGAAAAAAAAACATCGTGTCCAAATTCTCAATAAGTACTGTTACTACTCGACAATTATAAAATAAAAGCGTTAAGAAAAAATATCCAAACCTTGGAGTGCATTCACTTAGCTCAAGCACAATTACCCTTGTCATTATTAGAACAACTGCGTCTTCATTCATTTGATCTTTCATTTATTATTCTTATTCTTTCAAAGGGAGAAAGAGGAGAACCAGGTAGTGATGGTGAAGACGGCACAACAGGGAGAGAGGTTTGAACGAAGAGAACTACATTCATCTACTTTTACCTACATTCATTTGCCGTTTCGTTCATCGAATATTGATACCGCTTCTTTTACTTCGTTAGGGTAGCATTGGACTTCCCGGAAAGAATGGAAACCGAGGAGAAAAGGCAGATGAAGTACGACATAGATAACTCGCGAACTATGACTGACTTAATAAATGATGTAACTGTCAAACAATGTTTCTCACCACACAATTTCCTTTCTGTTTCTAGGGTCCCCGAGGTTTAATGGGGAAAATTGGACTGGCTGGGAAACCAGGTGAAAAGGTAACAATGGTTTCCAATGGTTAACTACTTCATCGTCGGTATTCTTTTCACTACTCAGTTATTTTGAACTTTTTCAATAAGTTTCATTAATCAGTTGTTATCTTTATTATGTCAGGGTCTTCCTGGGGCATCTGGTTCAACAGGTGCCTCCGGTCTGCAAGGAGTTAAAGGAATGCAGGGAGCTCGAGGAGATCAAGGGGCCACAGGACATTTTGGGGAAGATGTGAGTTGCATATTGTTTTTGGGAAGACGTGAAATGCAAATTCTTTAGGGGAAAGATGGGAGTTTAAAGGTTCTTTTTTTTTTAATAAGATATGAAATTCAAATTCTGTGGAGAATGTGAATTAAAATTCCTTTTGGGGATCACTTGAGGGGAACATGTTTCAAATTTTTAGTGAAAAACTCTGGGCCACGGAGTCAGTTTCAGTTCCACTGATTCTATTGCCAACTGGGGGACTTACAGATACATCGTACCTTAAGAGGAAAAAGTGTCTTTCCTGATTTCGTTGACGGTGTGTTCCGTTTAACGAGTCGGTATTTAATATGACGACTTTTCCGATGTTTTTATCAGGGTCCTCACGGAGTCACCGGTTATCCAGGCTTACCTGGGAAACAAGGGGTCAAGGTAAGTATTTTAATTCAGAAATAGCCTGCGATCCAGGCTTCTTATAATTGTGCATTAACGTTACAAGCTTGAGATTGTTTATCCAAACGGCCATTTTCACTCACTCCCTTGGTTGCCGTATAGTCAAACATAGGAGTTATAATTTTTACCGAGGGAATAGTAAGCATTTGGTCACCAAATTTACGCCTGCTCTGCAGGCAATACTGGACATAAAGTCACCTTTGATTTCTGATTAAGTTGGAATCAGATGCGGATGTCAAGACATAACTGACCTCTCATTGTGCCTTCCCAGGGCGACACTGGCGAGTTAGGAGATGATGGCATTAGAGGAAGAGCAGGGGAAAAGGTTCGCAATGTTTTTAATCATAACGAAAGAACAGGTACAGGGTGCAGTCACGTTCTGGGATACTTTAAAGCACAGTGATCTAATGGTTTTCATGGTTGACTACGCTTGAGGTATCGATGAATGAAACATTACATTGCCGCCCCGCCAGGTTCTGGTAAACTTAAGGCTGTTCTTTGCTGGAATTAGTCGATTGATGTCCAGTCAAGGTTGTTCGACATTCTTCAGTAAGAGAACAAATGTAATTTCAGACCAACAGTTATGGATACAAACCTCAACTGAAGTGTGCCGGTCTTTTATTCAGACTTAATGAATGTTGACGATATTTTTCCATAGTTAGGAGACAATTAGGGTGGACAGGTTAACTGTTTCCGAAAAATTTCCGGACATAACGAAATTTTCCTTTTAGACATGCATAGAAACGTTGTTGTAAAGTTTGCCTTTGGTGCAACTGAGCGGAAAAACTCTAACAGGTTGGGGCCTTGAAATTTGACGAGCCCTTAATCTTTAAAACGTGACATGCCTTTTGCTTTGTCGTGAGCCCAGCGGAAAACATGCTTAAACAAAGGCATTTCTTATGTTTTAGATCAAGTGTCTTTCCTTTCATCTGTAGGGAAGTAGAGGAATCAGAGGCGCGAAAGGACCCATAGGGTCTAAAGGTGCACAGGTATGTCAGTCATCTCTTGCTAGTTTTTCATTTTTATCATAAAGCTGTGGTTGTATATGTGAAGTTTAGCAAAAGTTAAAAGATGTTTTACTTCTTGTTTGGCATTAGTATTTTATTAATTTATAAAATATGGCTTACACATATGTTAAGGGTCCTCTAGGTGAGCCTGGTCTCGTAGGACCGTTTGGACCAGCTGGACCGCAGGTAAATGATTTTCTTTTAACTCTTCAATCTTTGAAGTTCACGTAAGAGCCTCCATGGAATCTTTTAAGACCGCTACAGAGAATTTCCTGTAGTTTTTCTTTTGCATAACTATAACATAAACATAAAGTTGAGTTCTCAGTATCCTGTCAGAGGCATTTTCAAAGGTATTTTCATACAGTCTGATTAAGACAAAAAATTCCCATCGTAGCCACTGTAGTGTGTGATAATTAACAAAATCCTTTTTGCTACTTTGAATCTTAAGGGAGCTGGCGGTATCAGAGGAAGCCAAGGATCTCCTGGGTTACAAGGAATTCTTGTGAGTAAAGTTTGCCTTTCAAGAGAAAAACAGGCAGAATTATTTTATATCGTTACAGAAACATGTGCTTTCACAAACATCTACAACATGAGATACTAACTAGAGCACAAATGAATAAAGGGGGTAAGTTTCTAAGGAAATTGTGGCGCTGCGTCGGTGGGAGAGTATAACAGGGTAATTTAGTATTATCAACTGAGTTGATAACTTAAATTGGCCACCTTAGAGAGTTTCGAAGCTGACGTTTTTTGCGTTAGCCCTTCATCAAAGCGAATAGACTACTAGAACATACTTGCAGCCAGTGAAGTTCTACTACCTAGGTCACACCACCAAAGTCATTCTGGCTAAGTTATACTTTCTAAGTAATTCTGCCCAAGTTATAATTTCTAGTCATTCTGCCTATATCATACTTTTGTATTAAATGTCCATCGCTTCTTAGCGATTGCTTATGACACTTGTGTTGATGTCATAATTATTATTCCTTTCTGAATCTTTTAGGGACCACCTGGTTCACCAGGAGGCTTTGGAAACAAAGTATGATAAGTATTTGATTGATTCAATAGAGAAGCTATTACAGAAGCCATTACTTTTCAGGACCAATTTCAAAATTATCCCTTGTAAAACTGTCTTCTATTCTGATTTGCTTCCATGCTAATACCCAACTATATCTTGTCACTTTCTGAAGCAAAGTATTTGATATAAAATTCCTTCCACGTGGCTTTCAATCAAAGTTGAGACTAATTGAAGAGATATCTAAACTTTACAAAGATCAAGCAGTTGCTTTCGGCCCTTATATTTCATGTGGTTGTCGGAGTTTTCCAATGTTTCAATGTCTTTATCAAAGGCTTTTGATCCATTTCTCTACAGGGAGATGCTGGACCACAGGTAGGTCTATTAAAAGTATAAATTAATTCTCAAATGATATTTCAGTAACAGTTCACCTCATGTACTAGGTTAACGTAGGACATTAGCAAAGAAAGTGCTCCGATAATTTGGTAAATTTTTGCTATTGGAGTTGTGGGTGAAAGATCATGACCACGATCGCAATTGTAATCACCTTAACAGTATAGCAATCCTATTTGACCAAGTCCTGACGAATTTGGTTTATTTTTGCAAACTGATGTTAATGAAAGAAACTTTTGGAAAACTTGTTAAATCAATAGTTTTTAAGTAGAATCATGAAAATGCTTACAGACCATTGCATTGCATTTAATGTTAATTGTAAAATTGTCACGCTTACAGTGAGGTTGATCTAGATTGTTTTCTTTCCTTGTTCTACTACTGTAAATGTGACATCCAGGGACCAGATGGACTTCAGGTATTTTTCATTTTAAAACTTTCATGTAACTCCTCATACTGCACTTTATTAAGCTAGGTCGATGTTTTAGGGGAAAGGAGACGGTAGTTGTATTTGGGTTAGGTTACAGTTCACTTTAAATTTTTAAAACAAAGGAGTGTGGCTGGTTCTACTATTATGAGTTTAGCTTTCTACAGTTGATGAAAATTATTTTTAGGGTCCCCCAGGACCGTCAGGTGCACCAGGACAGGCGGTGAGTCTACAATGTGAATCAAACCTAGCATTTACCATAGCCACTTTGATTATTGCCATCAGTCCATCATATTTTCCTAAAAACTTGACTGAAAAAAAGCAATAAAAGTCTTCATTTCAATTTTGTGAGTTTCTCATCTCATTTATTCACAGGCAGATATTTCCAGCTGGGTAAGTATGTTGTGTTTTCCCTTTAATACAGACTCTCTTGTCTTTGAGAAAGGCCCAGTAAAATGTGGTTCAGGATAGCTTTTCACGCCCTCTGTTTCGAGTTTGCCCTATGATGCTATGTTGCTTAGGGTTTATGTTGCATATTCACAAACTCAATCACGTAAAATACATAACTTTACGGAAAATTTTTCAAGTGAAAAAGTTCACTCAGAAAATCCAAAACAGTTATGACCCCTACCCCAAATAACCTGGGTTTGACTTCCTTAAAACTGAATGGTAAAGACCAAGTTGCATTAGTCAAGAATACCGTAAAATGAGTGTCATCGTCATTCTTACTCTCTGCTGATAATCTTTTCAAATTTTTTAAATTTAAATTAAGATTTCACAACAGAGGTATGGATTCCTTGAGGAGTCTTTGACTCAGAGTAATACCAAGTCCTCTCTGTACAAAAGTAAAAGTTTGGTAAGTATATTTTATGAATTACTCTCCAAGTTATGCAATACCTTTTCCTTTGAACCCTGGTTTAATTCTGTTGCAACCAATATTAGCTCCGAAATGAAAGTACTATAGCTTGTAATCTGTTCACTGACCCCTGTTTTTTTTTAATTATCGTCAAGAGGTGGAGCTTGAAAGTGGTTGCGAACAGACTACACGACTTCCCCAAAGTGCGCTTATTTGAACTTCATTTGTGCTTCCTCATTACTTTATGTTTATCATCATCATAACTTTTTTTTTGGCCTGTGGTGAACTAACGTTCTTACATTTTCCTTGCAGCCCCGACAGACACTAAAAACAAATTCCAAACATAAAGAGGTGGTAAGTTCCTCTAACATTGTCATTAATAAACTCTTAAATGATTTGTCAATAACACACCACTCTTGCGTAAGCCCTTTAACGTATCATGAATCTATTATAGTTATCTTGTTCAGTTTTCACTGTACCCCCACCAGTTTGCAGTGACTGACAACATGTAAGATTATAACCACAAACAGGGTTCATTTATTGTGGGATTGTAGAAGAATAATTACTGGGTTTTTTTTTCCTTTTTTCGATTTAAGACAAACGGAAACTACTTCTCCCAACATGATCCATCCGGGTGGAGAAATTTTGCATCCTTAAATAGCAGAGCCTCATCACTAGCGTTAGAAGAGGTATGTTTCTCCGCACAGGAGGAGAGATTTACCGGAGGTCTGGCACTAGACTCCTTGCAGACCTCACATCCGCGAACGAAGAGACCCTCGTGCTGCTGGAAGCGCTAATAATGATGGCCTTTACATGACAAAGTATATTCATAATTTAATACCCCAGGTGTTACTTATCTAGTATGTAGGGTGGCGCTTAGTAAATTAGCTCTTGTGGATTTCTTTTCTTAACAGGGAAACAGTCCAGTTATCGAAGCCATAAATAACCAAGTCCAGTCGTTGATAACCTGCAGACGATTTCTAGGTACCAGACGTTACCCAGCCAGAACATGCCGAGACCTGAAGCAACTTGAGCCTAATGTTACCAATGGTAAGGCAACATCATATTTTTTTTTAAGAATTAAATGAACTGTTGTACGAAGAAAACTTTGCAACTTTTTTTTGTTCTTCACAATTGTAATTATATCTGACAGATAATTGATTTATTTATCAAGGTCACTACTGGATTGATCCCAATGGTGGGCCAGTGGATGATGCAGTCCGAGCTTATTGTGATTTTCACTTTAACGCAACATGCATTCATCCAAAAAAGAGTAAGGTAAGGAGGAAATCATATTATTACACAGTCCTTATTTCTTATAACAAACTTAACATGTATGTTTGCTAAAAGGGTGTAGCAAAATTTGCATGAGTAACTCCATGTTTTTTCCGACACAGACAGAAAACAAGAAATGGTTCTTTGGACCTGACGGGTACAAGTGGTTTTCTAAGGAATTTGATGATCTACCCCAGGTACACACATAATCTTTGATTTACACCTTCGGCGAATTCTTAAGATTTATATAGCCGTGACAAACAGCTTCACCGAGCCTGTAATATTGACGCTAATTTTTTTCTCATTCCAACAAAAAGCAGTCATTTGTTTGGTTTGAGCGCTACAGGTTATTTTTAGAGCAGGTGGGCGAACTTACACCGGTTAGTTTTTCGACATCATTTTTTTGTTTGTTTGTTTTTGTTTTGTTTTGTTTTGTTTTTGTTTTGTTTTGTTTTGTTTTTGTTTTGTTTTTGTTTGTTTTTATATGACCCGTTTAGTTCCGGTCTTGCAGTCCTGGGGAAAGACGGGTTATGTAATAGTGTAATTTGATCGTCCGGGTGAGTGTAGTCCTGAGAAAGACTGTTGTCGGTAGTGGTGACTGACGTTTCGACAACCTGAGCGGAAGTCATCATCAGAGTCAAGCGAATGGCTGTTGTCAGTCGAATGTACTTAGTCTGGTTTGTATGAACTGATTGGTCAGTTTTGTCGTGATGTTTTGGCTGTAAGACTCAAGTGGCGTAGGTCAGTCGTGATTGGTCGGTCTCGATCCGTTAGTGACGTTAAGTCGTTCTGTTCGGTTCGTTTGTAATGTTAATGTCGTGAATGAGTCGTTTGTATGGTGCCGGTAGGGGTTGACACCTGTTGAGAGGAGTCTGTTCCAAGTTCGTAAACCAGCTTTCCAGGGTTAGTCGTTGAAAGTAGTTGGTGCTGTAGGTTAGGCATTGCGCAGGGTCCCAGTCAATAGTGTGGTTCGTAAGTCGGTGATGTTCAGCAATGTGATTGTTGACATCGTCTTTCCTCGTCGCTCGTTTGTGTTCAGTCAGTCTAGTTGTGAGGTTTCCGCCAGTCTCACCGATGTAGGAGGCGTGGCAGTCGGAGCAATCGATCTTATTCACTGCTCCCTGTCTGTTCCTCGGTTCGTCTTTGTCTTTGACGTCAGTCAGTAACTGACGTAGTGTGGTAATAGGTTTGTGAGCGACGCGGATATTGAAGAGTTGTAGGATGCGCGAGATGTTCTCAGTATACCCTTTATGTATGGTATAGTTGCTGTGGTCGTAGGAGTTGCGTTGTCGTTAGCTTCGGTAGTAGTATGTCGGTGAGTGTTTCGTTGGATGAAGTCTTCGTTGTAGTTGTTCTTCGAAAAAACACGGTCAAGATACTTGTTCTCGTCGGATAAGGTGTTTGTCGTACTGCATACTAGAAAAAAAACTGAAGTGTGTAGGCCTAGACGGGTTATGTTGTTTTTTCATCTTATGACCCGTGCAGCTCTCTTCCTACAGTCCTGGGGAAAACCATAATAAAAACCGACGATTGTAGGGCTACATGGGTTATATTGTCTTTTCATCTTATGACCCGTGCAGCTCTCTTCATACAGTCATGGAGAAAACCATAATAAAAACTGACGTGTGTCGGGTTAGATGGGTTATGTTATCTTTTCATCTTATGACCCGTGCACCTCTCTTCATGTGGTCCTGAAGAAAGCCATAATTAAGACGGACGTGTGTAGGGCAAGACGGGTTATATTGTCTTTTCATCTTATGACCCGCGTAGCTCTCTTCATGCAGTCCTGGAGAAAACCGTAATAAAAACTGACGTGTGTAGGGCTAGATGGGTTACATTTTCTTTTCACCTTATGACCCGAGCAGCTCTTTTCATGCAGTCTTGGGGAAAACCATAATAAAAACTGACGTGTGTAGGGCTAGACGGGTTAACGTGAGCCTGTTCGGTAAGAGCCATCAGGCACCGCACTCAAACGGCTCTGTTGCAGTTTCCAAGAACAGGAATTAGAATTTTACACTTAACGCTAAAGAAAAACAGAATTGATGAAATGTGTCGCATTTTTCGATAAATTGGAAGTGTCTTGTTCTGTCACGAAGAAGTACAGGAAAACTTTTTATTGCATAATCGTTTTCGTGTTTTTTCAGGACGCACCCTTTTCGTATATATCATTGCTTACTCACATCAGCAACATGGGAAAGGGATTATAAAAAATGTTTTATTACATTCGCGCGATGTTTTGCTTTAAGTAGTGTCTATAATATGTTTAATTTGAGCATAAATGAAAAAATATTTCAGGTGAGTCGAGTAAGTGTAGCACAAAGAAACTATTTACTCATTGTTCTGCCGAAGGAAAACGTTTTCAATGCCACTCAGCAGAGGCAGTCACAGTCAGTGAAAATTAAGTTGATTAATTTCCTTTTGTCTTTGCAGTTTGTTTATGACTGCGACCCAATTCAACTGACATTCCTTCGGCTGCTAAGCAACCGCGCAAAACAGATCATCACCTATCATTGTTTAAACTCCTCTGCCTGGTTCAAGCAAAGTACTGGGAGCTATGAATATTCCATTAAGCTTAAAGCAGAAAATGGAATTGAGATTTACGCTCAGGGAACCATAAAATACAAACCTACCATACTTCTTGACGAATGCAAGGTACGAGTTAATTTAGTAATTCTTGTTACGTTTCGTTGCCGGCTCACTTTGCATGTGACTGCTATGCAAAAGGTGTCATGGTTATTAATCATACAACCACTTTGTGAGACGCAGATAATACAAACAATCACGAAAGAAACCTGAGAGTAGTCTGTACAGAAATTAAAATCTACTCCTATTGGAATAAAACAGGAAGCGTTACCTGTCATGTTCTCCTTTACTGTTCAGTTTAAGGTTATATAATCCGTAAGAACGTATAATAGGTATTTGTGTGTATCGTTTGCGAGATAGTTTGTGTAAATTGAGTTTCTTTTGCGTTCACTACAATATTTGAAAAGATGCTATTTTGAATTTGAGATGTTTATAACATGTTATTAATATTCCCTTGTGTTATTTAAGCCATTTGCGATGTTTCCATAGTCGTTTTCTTCTTTTCAACTTGTAGATTAAAGATGGTGCATGGCGTAGAACGATTTTGGAGGTCAATACTTCTAAAACACACAGACTTCCAATAAAAGATGTGGCAGTACATGATGTTGGAGATACTGGAGAAGAGTTTGGTCTTGAAATTGGTCCTGTGTGCTTCTCGTGACGATGCGAATAAAAACAAGAATAAATATACCATAGGAATCGGAAGACAGAAAGAAACTCTGTCAACTCTAAAATTTACTGCAGTGTAAAATCACTTCATTTTTAGATTTTAAAAAACTACTGTTAAGGTATTATCGAAACATATGGTTATTAGTTTGGTATCGTCTCAAAGTTGTGCCTGAAAATAGAGGTAAGTGTCCTTTTCAGCGGCGAACGTGTTGTTGTTGTTACGCGAAAGTGTCAGATTTTAAATAAACGGATCAGAATGTTTCAACAATTGGCCAGCTTCTCTTCTTTCTGCTCTAAGGGGTAGGTATTTGCAATTCCCTCTCGCTGGTTATAATTTGAGGGGATCGGACTTATTGGCCCTAGAGTGGTGACGGTTGGTACTCGAGACCGGTTCAAATGACCAGCCTGCCCTATTTTTGCGTTATTAGGAATAGTACGAGAAACAAAATACGGTCGATTTACTACGATAAATATGTCGAAATATGAATATTCCACACGTAAAATCGATAGAACTTATGTTTGTTGTAGTTTTTGGCGATTTCTGCCGTTTTAAGCATGTTTTGCCACCACTGTTACTCCTGTTATAAGACGAAGTTATACCGGATGTGTACCTAACATTGTGTTTATACGACCGATGATTACGTAAAACGGTATGGAAACTACACAACTTGGCAGGAGTCAGAAGTTGTATCAAAGTAGTGGGACGTTTGGGGGCAGATGGCTTGAACAACTGAACTCTCTGAGAGAAGAGCACCAGAAGTCTTGCATCTCATAGCATCTTGCATAGCTTCTTGTTTAATGTACCACTGCCTGTTGTTACAACGTCTACTAACTTCACCAACAATTCCAACTTCCACTACTATTGCCAAAAAGCTTAGCACTTATATTATCATTTGGTTGTGTTTTCTTAACTATGCTAGATAGATGCACATATAGCGACGTGTATAGCACATATAACGCACTAACCGCTGATTTAGAGATAACCCAAAGGGCTAAGATAACACCCACAGATGTGAACCTCGAGCTGTTAGAAAGTCCAACAGTTTCATCCAAATAAAGCGCTTAAAATCGCGTGCGTATTTGGTAAACACTCAACCAACGGATAGCGATTTATCCAGTAATTAGCACCACCTAGCCTTTGAACAACCGAGGCCTGGCGGGTAGCACAAGGTTTAATTTTTTTTACAAGTTTTGTCGGTTATTTTATTATTATTTCAGCCGTGACTAAACGGAAAAAAAAAAAAAAATTTAAAGCCCGTGAAAAATAATAATTATGGCTTATTTCACATTATATTTTGCTATTTTGATAGAGGGATCGTCTAAATGCGAACGACTATTTTTGTTACTTCCTTTTCAATCTCTACATTTTGTACAAAACTTTTGTATTAATTGCGAGGCCCTTCTGTATTTTGTCTTGGAAGAAAAATGAAGAGAACCCAGATGTTATTTTGCCGTTTGCCTCTTACTATAACAAAACGTGCCCCTAGTGAATGGTGCTAATTAGAAAAATCGTGCGCGCTAAAAGCCCGTGCAGTTAGACGAGCCATTCAGGGAAGAGCTCAACAACCCACGACGAACGACTACGACAAAAATTGAAGTTTTCTTACCTCCCTATCAGTATCTGCATTTTGTGCAAAACTTTTGTACTCTTTGTGTGTCAGTCAGGTTTCAACACGCGAACGCTTCAAGATTTATTTGCATTTGCTGCTAAAAAGGAACAAGTAATTACAAATTATTACGAAGGAGAAGGAATAGGAAAACGCAAAACAACAGAGGAAATACAATTGGACAAGGAAAGACACTAACAAACGTTGTGTGACTTGTGAGCACGAAGAACAGAAAAACTAAAAGATGATCGCAGCGAAGGAATCGATGTTAACCCTAATGCACTCTGATACTCCTATGTTCAATTGTTTTTCTGAGAAACTTTTACGAAAGAAATTAAACAAAGCAGAATTATGAAAAAATCTAACAGAATACAAATCGCCGTGAGTGAAAAGAATGCGAAAACAATACGAAAAATGTGCGTGCAAAAACACAAAAATGTAATCAGGAACATAAATGGACAGAAATCACTAATTGGGAATGCCGCAGTATCACTTGCGAGGCCCTTCTGTATTTTGTCTTGGAAGAAAAATGAGGGAACGCAGATGTTAATTTGCCTTTTGCGTTTACCACAACAAAATGTGTCTCTAATGAATAGTGCTAATTAGAAAAATCGTGCGCGCTAAAAACCCGTGCAGTTAGACGAGCCATTCAGGGAAGAGCTCAACAACCCGCGTGCACGCATAAGTTTTAAAAGGCGCACTTTTGAAATTATCACAAGCATAGAGAAATTCTACTTCAGTGATCAATTCTTGTCACAATTTTAGCTTCTTTACAGTGTTTCTCCCTTGGAAGCCCTCTTTCGTTTCTCGTTGGTCAAACTTAACATCACGTATCATTTCTGGCAACGAACGGAAGCAGGTAAGTGTTTATCGACGCTTATAGAAACATGTAAAACTGTGTAAACTAATTCTAAGAGAAGCTGAGCCATGTACAAATTCAAGAAGAGCTCCAGATCGAAGCTTCGTTTTATTTAATTCTTTAATTCTTTCCAGTCGCTCGTATTTCCGCCCAGAATGTAATTTAATAACTTAGCAGTAGAAATTCTATTGCGTAATTCTTTTTGCAAAATTGGCTTCCTTGAAATTCTTCTTTGAAACTGTTGTCGCGCGGAGGGTAAAATTTCCGCACAGCCCCATCCTACATTATGCATTCAGTTCTTGAACAGAGAAAACAATGACAAAAACAATACATTTCCATTGGGAAAACAGATTTGTTTAACAATAGTACGGGGCTATGCGGAAACTTTACCGCAAGGAGTACCATTTCTAATCTTTCATCTTCTTTGCTGAAATTCTGCGTCAACAATGTAGAGAAAGCGTGGTTCGTGCTCTTAAATTTTAATTAGTTACAAGTTTGAAGCGAAACTCAGTGTTTTAAGTAATGCATATTAATTTTGATAGTGAGTATATCTAAAGCTTGTTCCTAGAGGCACTAGGTTTGAACATTGTGCGTAATATAGAGATGACGAGTGAATTAAGGAAATATTTCATTCGACTTCCCAGGCAGATTCCGAGAATTTCCTTCGTCTCAACCCTTAAATTCCAAGATCAGATCGTCAATTCTCCCTTTGACTGCCAAACAAGAATTTGATATCATATCAAGATAACAACATCTAGGAGATAAATTTGAGTATTCTCACTTCCTGTTTGCTGGATAATGTATAAATAATGGAGGGAGAAGTTACATTTTAATCACTTCTTAGACTTAGAGTCAACTGCTTGTTATGAAAAGTGAAAAATTAAGTTCACACTACTTTTTTTTTTCCTTTTTAATCGAAACATCTGAATGGTAAAAATGTCAGTAATACGGGTTTTAATCAAAGAAGGTTTGTAAATTTCCGATATGTTAGACGAAAGGGTTATAATAAGCCATAACATTTAATTTGCCTGTTTGTTTGCTTCTTTTCTGGGCTTCAAATGAAGTGATAATCTGCAAACGTTTAAATTTAATTCTACAATAAGATTCTCCAAATTTCACAAGGGAAAATTTAGGTACGCCTCGATGTTTACTAACCATGACTCCAGATGAAACTGATATTTGACAACATGAAGGGGGCTTCGTTCTCACACAAAAGTAATTTTTTTTTGTAATCTTGAAAACCGAGGGATTACTGACATTTAATTTCTCGTTATATTATCACCCCTTAATCACAAATTAAGCTCACACGCATAAGATGAAATGAAATAATCACCAACAAACGAAGCTCATGATAGTTAAACACGTTCCCCCTAAGAAATGTATAGAGAACAGAATTGACAATAAAAACACTGATGTATAGATGTGAAGGGAACAGTTTTTCCAATCTTGTTACTCCCGAAGGTTACTCTGGAAAAATGACTTAAATTTATCGCATGTTGACCAACCAAGTTTTGCAATGTTTCGGTAAAAAGTATCTAACAGAAAATTCCTATTCAGTTCTTCTGACATGTGCAATGGTTGCGAACTCAGAATATGATTATTTTGCAATGTTTTCCCCTTCACAAGGGGTCACGATGTTTTTACGTATCATTTATTTTACCTAAATATCCACAATATCTTTCTCATTTAGACTTGTACGACACACTCCAGTCCAAACACCGCTCAGTCCATTCTAGTGCAGCTAATCCAGATCACTTAACCTAAGTCCCTCTCACTTCATTTCAGAAGAGTCCAGTTCATTGTGCATTTAGTCCAAAAATCAGCATCCAGCTCCATGCAGTCCAGTACGACCCGCTCCAGTCCTCGCCATTCCTTTCCATATGGTCCAGTCCATCATCACAAGACAAGTGCTGACTCTTGCTACCGGTATAACTCGCTTATCGACGGGAAAGCGTGGTGAAGAAAAGGGCCGACGCTTCTCTTCCCTTCTGCTGTATACGCGGAGGCTGGGAACAGAACAGTGAGAAGACGCTGATGTCCAGCTGGTTAGTAAGATTCTTTGTGAGTTGGGATGAAAAAAAAGGGTTAATAGATAGTGCACTGGTTAAACCATAAAATCCAAATTCTGCTAAAAGTTGTCACACTTCTGATTCGGCTCAAAGTAGTTAAAGCTTAGTTTGCGGGTCCCCTTGAGGTTGGGCGAGGTCCCCCCTCCAAATCTTCTTCTCTCGGTTTTTTCTTTCAATCGAATACTGTTCGGCATATTTTCGGTTTGGATTGTTTCTTCTTCGTCGCTTCTTTAGGTTGTCACAATATCGGCTTCGTTCATACTTCGGCTCTTCATCAACAGTCTTTCGGTGTTCATCAGTTGCTCATCGACTTTAGCGCAGGTCTTCCCCCACTGTTACTTCGACTGCGACCGATTATATTTTCAGTTTAACTTGATTGAGAGGATCTTAAACACTGTGATCGAGTAAGACTGTTTTTTCTACTACTAAGTTGAAAAAAGTTTGCCTCGAAGGTTCAGCTAGATTTTAACGTTATGATTGGAAATCGGATTTAAGCAATTCAGCTATGACAGCAAATTAGAATTGAGAATTAGCCTTTGAGAAAAGATTATGCATGCATTGATGAAAATTAAGGTCGTGTTTCTTTCGGAGTTCGCCTTCACCTTCGGTTCGAATTTCACTTCGGCTTCTCGTTCGGCCTTTCAAAACTTGTTCGGATTTTCAGTTCGGAAAACAAAGGCAATGGGAAACTACTGAGAATTGTTAGCAAG